TCCGCCCTTTTCATACTTGTGTCGTGATGCTGCACAGACATATGTAAGGTGCCGTACTGCTGCTGTGATGTCATGATGCATGGTTAGTCATTGCAGTTTGTACAGGTCATCCTCGTTTAGCAACTGCCTTGCACAGCGAGCCGTTCGCAGTTATGACGGAGATGACAAAATAACTTTACGACCAATCCTCGCATTTATGACCTTCGCAGGTCTGTAAAGCAAAGGAAAGCTGACGTCAGGTCACAAGCACAGTTGCAGTTTTTCTTAGCGACCGTTTTGCTGAACCACCAAGTTGCTGGTCCCAACTGTGGTTGCTAAGCGAGGACGGCCTGTATTGGATACCTCTTATGCTCCTGCTGGCATTGTTCTCTTCTGTGACACATCTTACCGTCATCTAAAGCCTCCTGTTGGGTAGATTTTTCTCCTAGGTTCTTCCCTGGAGTTTACTAGAAGGGTGTGACACTAGGGAGGTTGGACAAGGAAAAACAGGGGAAACCCATCCACTCTCCTGCCTAAATCATTGCAGGAACCCTGCGTTCCCACTGAGCCTATTTCACCAAAATTCTGTTTTTCCTGGAAAAAGATCCCGAAAGCAAATTCTCTTTCATTCAATCAAACGAGAGCCGGTATGGGGGGGGGGGGGATTGCAAGCAACTACTGCCTCCGTGGGGTTGAATATTTCACCTCCTTCTAATATAGTCCAGATGAACATTCACACATGGTTGGGAAAATGCAGTTGAAGCATCCTGGGGGTGGAGGGGAGCATAAGTGAATCATCTGCTGTCTCCAGTCTGTTCAGTATTCTGTGAAGCCACAATAATTTCTAGGATGCGTTCCCCTGATTTGCACCGAGCCGACAGAGAAGTAGATAGTGGGTACAAAATTTAGAAGGCCAAGAAGTGATGAGTCCTTATGGATGTGAAAACAGACTTAAATAAGGAGGAAATAAAAGGAAACATTAAGGGGTCTTTCCAGGACTATCAATAGCTACTAGTAGTTTTAGCACTCTAGATTAGTGTTTCTCAACCTTAGCAACTCTAAGATGTGTGGACCTCAATTCCCAGAATTCCCCAGCCCGCCATGCTGGCTGGGGAATTCTGGGAGTTGAAGTCCACACATCTTAGAGTTGCCAAGGTTGAGAAGCACACTCAAGATAGTTCCCATACCTGCATAAAGTCATAGAAATAAATAATTTTTAGAGACACAGTATCCAGTGTTTTGAGTGTGCCAGAAACCATACTTTTTTTTTCTTCCAAAGGCTGTAGAAAAATCCTTAAGCTTCATATAAGCCATTTGGGGTTTCTCTTTTTTCCTCTTTGTATTGGAAAATCTGTAGCTTTAAACTGGAAGTGGAACTGTCATTCAGCTTCAAAAGAAAAAGTACACGCAAACTCATATCCCTTTGTCCAGTGTTCCCCATCCCCACCATGACAATTAAGTCTTGGCTCACTAAATTTGGCTAGCGAAATGCCTTTTAAAAGCGTTGCTCTTTATTCAGATGACTACTGTTCACACGGCGTTACTGGCAATTAACAACAGCCAACTCAAAAGCTAACGTGAATATGAATTGAAATGAGAATGAAATCTTCTGCCAAACGAAATCTTGAAATCAGTGAGAACGAAATCTTCTGCAAAACTTAGATGCAAGCTTTTTAGCAGCTCGCATTAGCAAAAAGTCCCCTTAATGCTTCCAAATGAGTGAAGTCCTCCCATCCAAAGCCTTTCCCACCGGTTGAAAACATAGCCCACCATTAGGATCTTCTGAAGAAGAATCTTGCAAAGGCCAAGCTCTGAGTAGGCTCAGATCTAAAGTCTTACAGGACTTTTTTGCAACGGGTTAGGTGTGTGATTGTTCAGCAGAATGCAACTCTCCCTCCACTGCCACCAGACTGACCAGGAGTGGAAATTCACCTGTGGATTCATCGGTTGCCCTGTTATGTGACGTGACATCTAATAAGGTCTCATAGGTCAAATTCTGCACCCAGAACTGTTGACCAAACGGGGACTCAGGGCAAGTACTGGCCAGATCCCAGCAACTGGGCATGGACCACATACAAGAAGGGCTGCTCCAGGTTTCACCTGGGCCACGGTTGTTTTTGACCACCAGTACCCTGGAGTATTCCACCTCATTCCAAGCTGCTAGAGGTTTCTGGAGCTGCTGATCTTCAGGTTCCCATGATGCAATCCCATTTTTGATCACCTTCTGCAAAGCCTTGGGAGACTCAACCTCAACCAGCCACTGCTTTCCAAGGAAGACTTCTTCTTCAGGTTGAGGAGGAAAGACTTTTATGAGGTCAGTGATGGACACACCAAAGTAAGCCTGGCTCCATTTCTCATTGCAGTGAGAAGTGAAGTCCTAAAGGGGGTGGGGGTGGAGATTGGTAAGAAGAGAAGAAGAAAATACTAGGTTTTAGGTGGATGTATCTCCACCACCAACAAAGTATAGTTTTCCACCTGCTGGGTGGACCTGATCAACAATGCCTTTAGTTCCTAGGAGAAGCGATGGTCTTTGGGTCATCCAGCCAAGCTGGCATCATCTCTGGACAACTGAGAGCAGTTGGCAAGCTTAGGCCAAGATCTTCATGTAGTGAAATTTCCCAAAGAACCGAAAGAAAATTGAGCACGCCCAGTAGCTGTGGAACATGGGCTACTGGGGAGGCAGAAGAACAGAAAACTGGGAGGAGTGAGTAGAAAAATGGAATATCTTATAAAAGGAAAGACCTAGCCTGTTGGAAACTGAGTAGGACTCTTCCATCCATTAATTACAGGGCCTGTATGTCATGGCTGTATGGTAATGGACCGAGAGTTTGCAACACTTCTGCGGAGCCTTGGATTGGGTTGTCCTGGAGACACAGAGGTTGCAATGCCAGAGGCCCCATTGCTGGAAAATATCTCCTTGGTGGTTTCCTGTGAAGCTGCCATGCTACCAAATTTTCACATGCATGTCAATTTCGGATGTGGCTGAGAACACCATATTAACAAATGTGGGGGTGCTGGAGGTGCAAGATTCCTGCAATTTAGTGCAGTGTTTCTCAACTTCAGGACCTTTAAGATGGGTGGACTTCAGCATGGCTGGCTGGGGAATTCTGGGAGTTGAAGTCCACCCATCTTAAAGTTCCCAAAGTTGAGAAACACTGCACTAGTGAATCAGGAACAAGGCTCAAGATGGAGAACAGAAACGCTTCTGGAATACCATTTGCTTTGCATACAAAAGGCACTGGGTTTGATTTCTGACCTCTTCTGCTAAAACGATCAGGGAGCAGAAGAGCCTTTTTCTGCCTTCAATCTTGGAGAGGTTCTGCCAGCCGGAGCGGAGCAGGATTTGTACACAGTTTGTCATGCAGTTTGAACTACTAGGTACATCTGGAATTTTGAGAGTGGGTTTTGGATATTCACACAAAGCAGCTTCTAGGGGAACGGTCTGTTTTTCTTAAAAACAATTGCATGGTGACTGTGAATAGTCAGAAATCATCCACTCGCTGGATGTCCATGTCTTCTCACAAGTTGACTTACGTTCTTTTTCTCTGGCAGCTGGTATACTTCCAACCACTTTTACTCAGTCTAGGAACTTCCAGTTGTGTGGACTTCAACTCCCAGAATGCCCCACGGCAGCTGTAGTAGCTGGAGGAATTCTGGGAGTTGAAGTCAACATATCTGGAAGTTCCCCAGGTTGGGAAACACTGTCTGAACCAGTGTTTCTCAACCTCAGCAACTTTAAGATGGGTGGACTTCAACACCCAGAATGCCCCATGAAGTCCACCCATCTTAAAGTTGCCAAGGTTGAGAAACACTGTTCTAGGTTATGCTTTCCCTGGGGAAAACACCTAGCTGCCCCCTTCCCCTGCGGCCCGCTCACCAGACACGTGTTCTGTGGCATCCAGATAGCCAGATTGCTTTTTCCGGGATCTGGGATCTGTGGCCACAGATACTTGCAAAGTCTGAAAATTAAACAGAAACCACAACCTGTCGATAAAAAGAACTCAGTCATCCTTTTTCATGTTGTAAAACAGCAAGAAATGTTATCTGTTTTAAAGGTTAAAAAAAAAGAGTTTCAAAAGAATCAGAATGATATTTTGAGATACCAAGTCCAACAGTCTTTCTTACACATCTTAAAATCTTGATTACACAAGCGTAGATGCCCAGCCCATCACCCTTAGATCCATATTTACAATTAAACTCTTTTCTCTCTATGTATATGTTATTAGCCTGCTTATTACAATACACAATGAGTCTAAAAGTGGGAAACTGACCTTGAGAAATCTGTGGTCTACATCGGTAGTTAATGGTACGACTTTCAATAGTAACTGGTTTACAATCAAACTGACCTTGAGAAATCTGTGGTCTACATCGGTAGTTAATGGTACGACTTTCAATAGTAACTGGTTTACAATCATCATTAACAGATTAAAAAGGTGTCCCCCAAGTGAGGTTTTGAGGACAATTATTGTTACATTCTCTCAACCTAGCCCTTATGAAAGGATTGGATTACAACTCCCATCTTCCCCAGGCGGTCGAAGAGAATTGGAGCTCAGCCTTGCTGGGAGCGGCAAGGCTGGAGCAGAAATGGGTTTTTTGGTTTGAAGAATGTCCTGCTCATTAGGACATCCTTTGATCTAGCTCAGTGTTTCTCAACCTTGGGAACTTTAAGAGGTGTGGACTTCAACTCCCAGAATTCCCCAGCCAGCAAGCTGGCTGGGGAATTCTGGGAG